CTAGAGTACTATGTCTTTCTGGTCGTGAGGATTGGTTTAGAGGTGGACATGTGACTTAGGTTGAGCCAGTCAAGATATTGAACATTGTACTGAATATCAGTTCTAGGACTTTTCCTGGTCTATTGAGTGTGAGATCATCTTTTCCTGACGAATTATTGGACTGGAGCTACTGAGCGCTGTCTTGCCACCATACAGGGGAGCCTCTTGAGAAAGGTGTCTACACAGAGAATAGCAAAGCTGACAGATAAAGAAAGAGACTACTAATGGCCTGTCTGAAGGCACTGGATCCAACTTTGCCTTAAGTCAGATATATCCATGGACTGCTTTTACATTAGCCAACAAAATTTCCTTTTCTGTTAGGCCAGTTTGAATGAGGTTTCTATTCCCTGTACTATGAGAGCCATTGGCTAGTCTAAAAGTTATCATCAGTGTCCTTAGTTTATTTATCAGATGCTTTTTAGAAGCAGACAGGGAAAATACACATACATTTCAATTCTGATACTGGATTATTGACAACAGGAGCTCATGACCTTATCTCCTATGTTTGAAAAATAACTTATGGTGGCTTTTGTACTTGTTTGGCTATTGCACATTCCATCTTAAATCCCTTCCTTAAGATGGTTAGCATGATCTCAGCATCTTGTTTTCCCTCTCCTCTGAGTGCAGAATTCACCGGATTTGTCTTTCATCGTCTAGACAAGCTGCCAAGCACGTTCCTTCAAGTTGGCTCCTGGACCATCTTCACAATACAACAAACGAATTTTTCAATGTTTTCATTTATTCACCCAACCATCTCTTTATTCCAGCAATCATCTACCTGAGCCAATCCCCTCTGTGAGAAGATGTAGTAGTTCTTCATTTCATAACAGTAGAAAGTAGAATAGCTTATTAGTTTAAGATGTTTTAACTCCTCCTTTTTTCCTTATATAAGCAAATGTGTCCTCCCTTCCCATCAATGTGTCTACAAACTCCTTTTACAAATAAAACAGTCTTTTAATTTAGCCAAAGAACTAAAAAGGCAGTGTGTGTGTGTGTGTGTGTGTGTGTGTGTGTGTGTGTGTGTGTGATAATAATACATGCTATGGAGCTTTTGAAAAAGACAACAATAAAGGTACTAATGTTTTTAGAAAACTTCAGAGCCATTCCCAATTCTGCAATTACTTACAGGATATTCATGCTGCTGTTAAATAAGCAGATAATCTTTATCTGCTAATAAAAAAAAAAAAAAGCAGCCTGTTGCCAGAGGACTGTGACAGTCTTAACAAGTTTTACAGAAAATAAAATACCAGAAGATAACAGGTATTATGTTTTCTTTTGGCAAATATTAACACTTCACAGCTAGCATATCTTGCTTACTTAATTGGGCCTATAAAAACTCGCCAGGCCGTTTCACTTGCAGCTATTGAAATTCTCTCAACTTGTTCTTTACAGCTTTTTAGAGCCTGGATGGGAAAACAGCTACAAAACAGATCGGCTGCAAAGATTTTTTTAAGGTCTCAGGTCCATATTTACAAACCTTACAATCTGTGTCTATTCATTTACTTTAAAACAGATGAAGTGAATAAATCAGGAGTTCCCTTAAAAGAGAGTAAAATCCAGCAAATCTGAGAGCGAAAGGACAAAATCTGTTGGCTGTGCAAATTCCTAAATTGTCTCCATCACCTTCCCTGTACCCTGCCTCCAACTAACTGCACCTCACCTCCTGCAGAATTAATTGTGCTCTCAGGGATCACAGAGATGCTAATCTCTCTTTTTACTATAGCATTTATCATGTATATTATTGCTCTATTTTGTTTTGGCTCACATGTCTATATTCCTGGCTGGATCGTGAGATCCTTCAGGATACGAAAAAATGTCCTATTTCTGTTATCTGCACCTGGCCTACGCTAACATAGAGTAAATATTTCTTGGAAATGAATGAGAGACAGGGAAAGGAGAAGAGAGAGTGAAAAAGAAAGAGAGTGAGAAAAGTGAGAACCCAAGAGAGAAGTAAAAGACGGCTCAGGCTCTGGGCCACGGGGTAGAGAACCATGAACAAAATGGCCTTGGAAGATCTAGAAATTCAGGAGTCAACTAAAGAATGAGATGGCCTTGACTGGTCCTACTGAGAAAAACATGTATCTTGAAATATTTTTCATAGATCCTAATACAATTTCAAGGTGACTTTTGTCATTTTGGCTGGGTATGGTGGGTAAGGTGCTTGACTCCTCCATGGCCAACCATGGTTCAAGCCTCAGACCTAGGGGGTTGGATATAATGCTAGGCACGTGTGTCTGCATGCCCCAAATCTTGAGAGGAGAATGGAGTATAAGGCATTGTGATGTGGACATCCCACTGGGGGATGAGGGGGGCTGATTTCTCACTTTCCATCTCTCTGTCTCTATCCATGTAATACTTTTTTCATAATACAGATTTTCCATGAATGCCTCCAAAAAAATATTCATCAGGCATCTTGTGCTGAGGTACTAGGCTTAAAGAGTACTTAGTCTATGAAAGTATCTTTGATGATGCTGGCTCATTTCATAATTTTGTTAGAAAAATTGGACTATTTCGATGTTTACTGAGTCAATGTTCTAATTTGAGAACTGTGGGTGGAGGATCCTTGAGGATCAATTGGAAAAGCACCTGCAGGCCTCCCCTGGGCCCTAACTCTCCCCTTCATGGACTGTCCATCTGATTTGAATAAGTGCCCTGGTGATGTTACAAACTGGCCTGGCCTAGGAACCTCAATTTCATTAAAGCTGCCTTGTTGGATCTGGCTAGCCGACAGGAATGTAGTGTTAGCTTTCTAAACTTGATTTTCTAGATCTCTCCCAAAGTAGCAAGACAATGGTATAATTTCTCAGGCTTATAGTGGACAAAAGATCCTAGTGTTTTTACTTGGCTTAGGGAGAGGAGAGGAAAAGATTCTGAGATTCTAATCCCCAGGTGGGAGTATCTCAGGCGATCAGACAACACTCGTCCTTTACGACAGTGCACTTCTCAAGCATCCCTTTGAGTAGCCCCAGACCCCAATTGTCTGGGAAACATAAAATCAGTCACTTTTGGCAAGGCTCAACACACCGGAGCATGGGAAACACAAATTAAAACAGAGATACTCCTTTGGTCACTGGATTGTCTGGTTACATGTTGACTTGGCATAAAAATAGAATCATTAAAAAAAAAAAACAAAACAAACAAAAAAAACAAGCACCCAAGGGTATAATTATTTAGCATGGATTTGGTAAAGGAAAGAGGAAACTTTAAGTCTCATGGAGGTTAAGCATCTTCATCCTCTTAGCTTGATGGAAGGAAATCATAAAATAAGGTCAAAACAACCAGGACTGCTTAATCTGAAATTCCTTGCCTGACTCTGCTCATAGGAATTTGCAATGGTTTTGAGATGGAGTGTTTTTCAGTGCATTGGACATGGTGTTCTGTTTTGGATATAGTCAAAATAACTTCCCTTTATTTCATTATTTGTCTTTTTATGTATTGTAGGACCTGAGCCTTACCTAAGGAGCCATTCTCTTCTCTTGTTAAAGAAAATTGATCTCAAGCAAGTTTGAAACAAAGCAAATTGTTAGCTAATCTTTTATCCTGTGAAAATCTTTCTCTTCTGTGACTGAGAGTCTAAAAGAGAAGTTGTCCCATCACTGTAAATGCCATTCTGTTTAATCCTAACATCAGAAATATAACCAATAACTAACTATATCCACAGTCTGAGGATGCCTATCTCCAAAGAGACTGAAGCCTCTTGGTTTGAGATCATGAATCCTCACTGCGCACTTCTGGGTAGTGTTTTAAAACTCTATTATATAAGGACAAGTCTCCTGGGCCGAGGAGTTTCAGCTGCTCTGTACAACAGTGGTGGATCCTGAATGCGATTTTGAAACCCCAGGGTAAAGTGTCATGCATGACATGCCACTGCACAGATGTGAAACTGGAGGGAATCAGCTTAGTCTCTGGACTCCACTCTCTCCACTCTGACCACGTGAGCATAGACTGAGTGTGAAACTCAAAAAATGACATTTCCCTTCAATACATTTGCCTTTCAAAGGAACTGGTGTCTTCAGTGAGCTCCAGGGATAACAGAGTTCCTTACTTGGTTCTCAAAACAGCACTACACATGGAGGCAGAAGGCAGTAATCATGAAGGAGGCTGAGTGAGGACTGAATCACACTGAGGGCATTACTATTACTGCATTCAGTTCTGCTCCAGTGATAATGCTAGTGAGGAGAGCTAACCTTTATTGAGCGCTGGCTCTGTGTCAGGCACTGTTGTAAATATCTGACATGTACCTTTAATACAATTCTGAGCACCCTCCTCTGGGCCATTGTTGTGGATGCTCAAGAGATAAGTGTACTTTGCAGGCACAAACTTGCCTTCTTGTAAAAGATAAGAGACTGAATCACGCTACCCTGCAAAAGCCTTCAGTGGTCACAGTACTCTTTTCTGTTCTCTGAATGTTGGAAGATTTGGCTAAAACAATTCTCTAATACCCTTATCTCCAAGCAAAATGATTCTACTATACTGGTAAGATGAGCAGGATGTGAGTTGCTCATGTCCAATGTATACACAATACGTTTCTCTGACAATAGCCCTTCTGAATGCACATATAATAACCATTTTCCAAAGGAGAGAGGGCTTGTGTTGCAATATCTATTAACACTTGCTCAGATGTCCAAGAAAAGGAGGGTAAGGATTAAGGTTCAGTGGATGATGACAAAGATTCCTCATCCTCTTTAAAGTATAATAGCAATCATCTGCTCCCCCCAAACCAATCGGTATACGACAGGATGTAAGTCTGAGAGCAATTAGAATGAACTACTGCACCCTAGCATGGTTTGACTTACGACAATAGACAGCCCTTACAGGAGAAGATGACTTTGGAAATGTTTATATGTGTGGAACCGAAGGAACCAAAATATAACCTAATATGCATAGAATATTCTTGATCATGTTCTTCTTCTCTATGTTATCTTAGTGAGGATGAATTTAATGATTAAAATCAGACTTACCCAGTGGAGTTCATAATCAGATGGTCTGGCTCTTCCTTCCTCATCTTCATATAAAGGGAAACCTTCTCTCCGAGCCTGATAATACTCCTTCCGCAACTTCTGGATGCGGTCAGTGCTTCCACCCATGGGACGGCCACTATAGAACATGATCAAGCAGAGTCTGTCACATAGTGTGTGTCATCCTTGTATGTCACACTTTTGATCTTACTAAAGAGGCTGATATCCGAATTTGGAAGATTCAATAAGATTCTTCTAATATGCTGGGAGAATTGTGAAATCAGTAACAGAAATGAACCAAAAAATAAAAAAGCCATTATGTGTATAGCTTTAGCTCCAAGGGACAAAACAAGGGTCAAAATTCCTGACTTGAGATTAATAAATGCCATTTTAATGAGAAGGTAAGAGAGTCCTGACCTTTTGGAGCAATTAAGAGATCCATCACTTTCTTCTTATAATCATGCACATATAGTTTGGTTAAATTTTAATGAGGGCATCTCATTTTTTTTTTTTTTTAGAGAAGCGTTGCCTACGTAGGACAAAGTTCCAGTTGTTTGGCACACACAGTGTTCATTTCAGTGTCAACATGTGGGTACAGCCAGGACACAGAGAAAGAAAAGAAGGTGAAATCTATGCTAAAAAGTAAAGCAAACAAATGAATAGAAAAGCTGGGTGGGTGATAGAAGAATGTGCCATCTTTTTCGCTTATCCAAAGTGTTCTTCTCTCTTCTTTAATTCTACTTCTTTTCAGGAATTACAGCTTCTCCAGTGACTCATTTACTCAATCCCCCAATCAAAGCTAATAGCTCTTTCTTAGCTTGGATTGGTTTGTCATGATAACTTTTACCAGGACAATATCATGTGGTATATTCCAGGGCTGGAAAGCAAGAGGAGAACGACAGATAGATTTGAAGAGTTGTTCAGTTCATTTTAGGCATAGAGCGCCCTGTTCTGTCAGACTTTACATTAAAACTGGGATATAAGAATGAACAGTTCATGGTACTTGTCTGCAAACAGCACACAGCCTGGGAGGTAGGGGAGAGAAGGGCTGAAGATGACTACAATCAATTGTGACAGGTGCTACAACAGAGATCTTCAAGGGCTCATGGGAACAGAACACTTAAACTTCAACAGTGTGAAAGCAGGGCCATGAAAGATCATGAAAACTCCATAGAGAGGGTGATACATTAGCTGAGCATTGAGGGCTGCAGAGGTGCCCAACAACTGGACAAGTGAGATGCGGAAACTCCAGGTAGAGAGAAGGGCAGTACAAAGCACAGCAAGGAGAAAGCATTTGCTTTGGGGAAATGCAAGTCAGTCCAATTGGGCAAGGATCAGTCCTTGACATATTTTGTCCTGCCTCATACACATACTACCTTCTTTCTCTTTTAGAAAGCAAATTAAAATGAAAGTATGTGCTGGTGACTTTAGATGGGTTTTGAATTTACTCAAATAAATGACAAAAATACATCACTTGCAAATGTTAGTACTTACACTCAGTTGGTAGTCACTTATTAACCATAATGACATTTGTGTTTCAGGAACATGTGAGGATCATTGCTCTAGCATAGAAGGTATATGGGAAGAAGGAGAGGGAACAGGGAAAAGTGAGACTTGGATAGGTAGGTTGCGGCCTCACAGTGAAGTCTTGCATGTCAAAAAGATCCCTAAATGTTATAGCTGAGTTTTAAGTTGAAATGGTGTATTTGATAAAATAAGATCTCTAAAAGCAATAGAGTTTATCAATTTTGTTAGAACATTTAAAACATTGTAGTTGTAAACTATAACAAGAAAATGGTGAATAAATATCTTTGGTAAGTAAAACTTTCTTCTCACACCAAATTTTAAGTCGCCTGAATGCAGGACCACTTTTCTCAATGTCTTATAACCTCTCTACACCAGTTTGTGCAGGATTTTGGGCTTCCTAGGTATTCCAAAGATACTCAGAGGCTAAACCCTTTGATCAGGAAAATACAACCACTTGGGGTCATATCATATACATTTATTTTTCTTCAATACATATTTTTTAAACTCTCAAAATAGTTTCGATTTTTACTCTACTTTTTTTTTCTAAAAAAAGGATTTTTGCTTTTGTTTTCTTTCTTTTCTTTTTTTTTTTAGCATTCAAAAAAGACGAGAAAAAAGCCTTGATAATCTTTTCTGAACACTGGGCAGGCAGGAAAAGCAGCACAGTCTATTTTGAACAGCTTCCCTCACTCTTGAGTAATATGAGATGACTATGGTGTCTGTATCCAATGCACAAACTTCTGTCGATTACAGGAATTCATGAGCCCCATTCAAACTCACCAGATGAGTTCAATCAACACAGTGCAAACATTGCATACATAATCTATTAGTTTATCCCAAAGAAACTGAAGCATTGAATTCAACTAGAATGAAGTCATCAGTTTAAAAAAAAAAAAAAAAAGGAAACTGATAAGGCACTGTTTAAAAAAAAAACAAACAAAAAACACTCTAATTTTGTTCCATTTGTGGTGAGAACTAAAAATCATACTTGGACTGTAAACCATTCTATATATCTATAAATATATAAATTTTAAAATATGGATTTGATCATATTGCTGTTCTCAAATAAGGGAATAGGGCAAGAATATAAAATCAGCTGTTCAGGATTCAGAATATTCCCAATGGCTGACAGAAACATGACTTGTTATCCAGAAAAGAAATCTGGCCCAGGATCAAAAACTGGGGAAAAATTCCAGAAAGTCATTGGCCATATAAGCATAAAACATACTGTATCTTCTTTCTGTTTGATTATTTTTTTAAAAAAGAGGTGAACTACTTTGCAAACCTCTCATGGTAACCTGGTTCAAGATCTCAATACCATCTCTTTTCTCTCCTCTTAAATTTCTCTTACCTTTAATAACTACATGAGATTTTCCCCAAATAGGTGTTTCATATACTAAAATTAGAAATAGCAAATTCTGGGCCAGCCCATGGTATGGTAGTGAAGATGACAGGATCCCACATGCTCTGACCAAATGGTTGGAGTCCTGGACCTGCCAGGTACGTGTGTGTGTGTGTATGCATGTGCCTCAAATCCCCAAATAAAAGATAAATGGAGGAAAAGGGATTGCGGCAAGACCATGCCCCATGCGGGGATGATTTTTCACTTTCTCTCTCTGGGAGTGCTTTCTCATTTTCTCTGACTTCTTTCCAGCAAGCACATGCAACTTTTGGGGAAAAAAAAAGAGAGAAAGAAATAGCAATTTCTGATTTTTCTTTTCAGCAGATAATATATATACATATTTACTACCAAATATATACATATATTTATTTAGTAAAATGATATATACTATTGTAACTAAAGCAATTAATTTGTTCCATTTTGTGTTGATGATATAGAAATTCAACATTTGAAGAGGGCCATACCAAAAAAAAAAAAAACAAACCCTTGAAATCATAGCAGTAATCATCAAAATGTTTATAATCTATAGAACACTTACATAAAACAAATACGTTGAGTGCTCGCTTCGGCAGCACATATACTAAAAAAAAACAAATATGTCGATAGACTTTTACTTACTCTGATTTTTGCTCAGAGTAGACAGCACTAGTCATTTACAACATTCTTTCCTTGATCCCAGGCATTGCTTCACAACCCTTCTTGACCCAGAATTTCAGAAAGCTGCTACCAAATTCCAGGAATTAGCATGAGTTGGGCTTATTTATAATTCCTCTGTAACTGCTGCTGTAATATCTCAAAATCTCAAAAGAATACTAGAAGATAAGTTTTATTATTCTGCTCAGTAGAGATGAAGACTACAAGGTGCATAGCGAATGGATGATTAACGAGGTCTGTTTGACTTCAAAGACTATGCTTTCTGCCATGGTTTACTATCTTCCAACCTGCTTCTCTTCCTCTATCTTATTTATGTGAGAAAGTCTAAGTACTCTAGCAATATATTGAATGGAAGTTAAGGGTAGCCTATGGGACTTACATTCTGAGGATTCCTGTTTTTCTTCTTCATTTGCATGTCATCTGTTCTATTTTCTTAACTTTAAGGAAGTTAGCAATGCAAACTCTAGGGGGGAATCTTTTGCCTTTGAGCTTCAGAAGTGACATCAGATAGTGACATCATTCAAATACTCTTACAATCATTAAAACCAAAGTATCAATTATCCCATCTACATGTGGTTACTTTAAAAAGTAGGCTTTCTGTATTATTTGTTTACTAGATAAAGTAAAGCCTGCCCATTCTTTTTTTATTTTTATTTTTTTGAAGAGGTTTTTTGCTATAGGGCGCATGTGCTTACCAGAAAGACAGAGAGAGAGAGACAGAGAGAGAAATTAAGAAATCAACTCCCAGGGGGGAAGGCCATGCTGCGATCCCTTCTTCTTCCATTCTCCACTCAGGATCTTGGAAACGCATGCACACATGCCCAACGTGAGTTTTTTTTTTTTTTTTTTTTAGGGGTTTTTGTTTTAGTGTGTGTGTCCCCCCAGGTTTTTGCTATAGGTCGTGTGCCCTCGCCAGACAGACAGAGACATAGAGACAGAAAACGAGAAATCACCCCCAAGGGAGGATGGCCATGCCACAATCCCTTCTCCTCCATTCTCCTCTCGGGATCTTGGGCACACATACACACATGCCCGGCATGAGTTTTAAGCCACCGGGTCTGGGACGCGAACCATGGTCGACTACATGGGAGTCCAGCAACATAGCCATTATGCCAACTGCTGGTCCCTCCCAATGTGAGTTTTAAGCCACCGGGTCCGGGACTCCAGCTGTGGTCGACTACATGGGAGTCCAGTGACATAGTCATTACGCTAACTGCTGGTCCCATGCCTGGCCATTCTTATAAGAAAATTCCTACAGGCTATATCCTTTTCTTTTCTTTCTTTTCTATTTGCCAGAGAGTGTGTGTGTTCCCCAGAGGGAGACAGAGAGGGAGAGAGAGAGGGACTCTTTAATGGGGCTTGGTCAGGCTGCAATTCCTTTCCCCTCCATTTCTCTACCCTGTCATGAATTGAGGCATACATGTACATGTGCTCCGCTTGATACATAAACTGCTGGGCTGGGGATTTCAACCACTGGGTCAATCATGTGGGATCTGCTTCTCTTAACCAGCAGGCCATGGTGCTAGTCCTATAGCTGTATTCATATATAAGTGATC